GAAATTGCAATCTTCGTTTGAGGAATACTAGGAAGTCTTCAAGAGTTGACTAAAGGAAGGAATTAGGAGGAAGTTCAAGATAAGAAAATGTTCCTGGCACATTACTTACCACATCGTCCAGTTATCAAAGAAAACATTGTGACTAAAATCAGGCCAGTCTTTGATGCATTTACTAAGTGAAAGGATCACCTAGCCTTGATGCTTGTCTAGTGAAAGGAGATAATCTTATTGAGTTGATTCCACGTATTCTGATCCCTTTTTGTCCTGAAAGGATAGGCATTATTACTGATATGTATAGAGCTTTTTTACAAATAAGTATTATACCTACTGATAAATTATCTACAGTTTTTATAGCAGTGCAGCAGTGGAGGATGTATTTGAATATGTCAAATGGTATTTGAAGTGTCATGTAGCCCATTCCGTTTAAGTTCTACCATTTGTACCATTTGCAAACCGTCCTACAAGAAATACAATCTGATAATTTTTCATAGCCTGAAAGTATTGTTTAAAAGCTTCTCAAGTTTTTACATTCATAATTCTGTTATTAGTGTTAAGTCAGATCTGAATACTTTCATCAAAGTTTCAATTGATGTAATGACAGAGAAAAAAATTTAACTTGGAGGGTTGGAATATACAGATACTAATATTCTGTACTCGGCTGAGACAAAAATATTGGGTTTGGTTTGGAATAAAGTGTCTAACAATCTACATATAAATATTAGCAACTTGAAAGAGCCGTGCCTAGAGAAAATTACTACAAAAAAGCAGTTCTTTTTGCTGCGCTTAAAATATTTGACCTGATTGGTGTTTTTCCATTAACCATTCCATTTTTCCATTTCCTGTATATGAAACCTTAATTGTTGCTTCAGAAAATTTGGAAAATGAAGTTAACATGGAATGATAAAGTATATTCTGAAACTAAAATTCACTTCTTAAAATGAATCAAAGATCTTGTTCATTTGAGAAATATACATTTGCTATGATTTATTGGATATGAAGAAACTAAGCACTGCTATGTATATTTTTTCAGTGATGCCAGCAAAGACTCATATGCTGTTGTAGTTTTTCTGCTAACAGAGACCAGTACTAATATTAAAGTTAGATTTTTGCAAGCTAGAGATAGAGTTGCTCTTACGGGGGGGGGGGGAATTGCTAAACTTGAGTTACTTGCTGTCACTGTTGCCTCTTGTCAGTCTGTTTCTGTTCTAGCTGAACTGAAATATGATAAAGTTTGTCTTTGGACAGACCCTCCTAATGTTTTAACTTGGATCACACAAGAAGGAGCATGGGGAATTTTCATATACGATAGTCAAAGGAAATCAGAGAATGAACTGATAAAAGAGATTTGGAAACACGTACGTGGTATAAAAAATCCTTTCAATTTATTTAGTAGAGGTCGTTCAGCGTAATATTTATTAAAATTAAAATGCTGAGATGGGCTTCACTGATTATATATTTCCATCATGAGGAATGGCCAAATATTAATTTCGATATGGATGAAGAAGAAATTCCCAGAGAACAAAAAAGGTCCGTGACTTCATCAGTTACAAATTGTATGATGATAGCAGATTCAGACAGTAATACCATTGATTGGCATTACAAGTTTTTTTTAAAAGTATAGCAAAACTGCTAATCTTATTGCTTGGATTTTCAAAAAACAGTTGCATTTCAAAACATGAGCAGAAGAATGGTCACCTCGACTTCAGAGAAGTTTTAAGAGTTGAAAACAAAGTCATTAAGCTGATTCAAGCTGAATGCTTTCTAAATGAATGGGATAAGAGGTTAAAAAAGGATTTGACAGCTTTTAACCCGTTCTTGACCAACGTCCCATAGGCTGGGCACAATGACTCCACTCTTACCAGCCCAGTGTTGCGTCTACACGAAGAGCTCTGACCAATCTTTTCAGTCCAGCGTCGGTTATGCATAATTTGAAAATGAAACGCTGACCAATCTTTTCAGCACAGCGTTGCTTACGTACAATTTGAAAACGTGGAACGATTTATTTGAATTTTTAAATGCCAGTAGATGGCACTAAATGGTAAAGGTTTTCACATCGGTTGACTGTGACTTTTGACCTTCAGGTATGGGTATCAGTTTCTGTTCTGTGCTTCTGGTTTTGATAAATTTATTGGTGTAAACAAACTGGGAATTGCAGCTCTTCGGCATTTTTATTTATTTCATTAGGAATTCTGTTCCCCCCTCGTTTTGGTTCTTTGCTTTTGACATTAATAGAATGCAGGGAAGTGCATCCAGCTCAGTATTTTCATTTATGTTATTTGCTTTTTTTGTTAGGAGAATGTGAGAAGACGCATATAACTGACTATAGCAAGTTAACGTCGTCGAACTTTCCCGGTGGAAAAACTTAGATGTGTAAAATTAAATAGTAAATTAGTAGTAAAGTAACATTACATTATTATTGCAAAAGGGAAAAGACATCAGCTTTCCTGATGCATGATGTGTCTTACTCACTCGGCATTTCTCAGGAAAAAAGCCATCCTTATCCTGTGTGTCAATCCTCGTTTTGAATTATTCCATACACAGCAGAATTTTTTAAATTCGATGTAATTACCTATGGATAATTATTGCTTAATTTTCTTTTAAATTTTGTATTTGTAATTTTATTTTCGTATGTATAGTTATAATTTTAGTATTTTGCATGTTTCATTTATTTCTATTAATGTGATATTCTGTATATTAATATGTATTAAGAATTGGTATATTAAATACCTAACTTCAAAAATCGAGGTCGTTATATTAAAATGCTGATTTTATATGAAGTTTGTTTTGTAAAATTAGGTGTAACTGCTGAAAATGCTTGGGTCAGTGACGAATTTGCATTTCGAGAGGGGGGAGTTAGGTCCGTGATTGCGCTTCTTTCTTCACTCACAGGTCCTCAAGGGGTTAAAGGTAAAAAGGGTATTATCAGGCTAAAGACCAACATAAGTCAACAGTATTGTGAAGATTTTAAAATGCTAGCAGTTCTGTCATATCACGAGGTCGTTAAAAGATTACTATTAATATATCATCATATGAAACATTCTCATGCAGGAACTCAAGATTCTGGTAAACATAATAACAGAGAGATTTAGGATTCTTGATGACAGAACAACAACATGATCCATAGTTTCGAAGTGTGTGATATGCAAAAGGTGTAAGAAACTGAACATTGTCACTGCACCTTTGTCAGAACAGAATATGTGAAGCTACTGTTTTTGAATTTCATGGAATAAATAACCTTGCTGAAGTCGTGGATTTGCTCATTTACTTGTACCGTCTATCAATCCATGCAACTTGAGTTAGAAACTTCACTCTCAACAGAAGCCTTGTTATTAGCTCTGTGTAGATTCATAGCTCGAAGAGAGAGAAACAAAATTATCTAATGCGATAAAGGCAGAAACTTTATTGGAGCTTCAAACTGTTTCAAAGTTTAAATTTTAATTATATAACTTATGATAATTTGTTTTACCAAAAAGAGTGGAAATTTAAACTACTTACTGCCTCGTGGTGGGATGGTTGGTTGGAGAGATTGATAGGAATCCTTAAAAATGTATTGAGGAATTTATTAGGTCATACTTATTTAACATATGAGGAAATGGCAGCAGTGCTTTTTGTCTGCGAGGCAGTTATCTATTCTTGTCCATTAACTTCACCAAGAACGATGCACATGTTCCTCTGAGTTCTCATATGTTTTCGTAAGAAATGCAAGCATGTGGAACTGCACATTGTGATGCAGCAGACCTTGTAAGAGCTTAAAAAGAAGCACAAGCTATAGACAATGGTTGCTAGACAACTTGAGAAAAAGATTTAAGTGACTATCTAGGAGCTCTTATTCAGAAATTAGAGACTAAAAGATCATTTAAATAAATGTTGTTGATATTGTTTTAATTGAAAATGACAGCACTAAAAAGATCAGTTGGCCCCTTTGGAAAATTGAGATCATATGAGGCAAGGATTGCATAACAAGATTGGCTAAAACTTCAAACAACACATGCACAGTTTCTTAGACTGATTCAATGTCTGTACTCATTAGAAATACTTGTCTGTAATCATATCACCTTCTCAAGAAAGGTTTCCATTTCCAGTGGAATATGAGTTTACAGTACGTAACTTGAAAATGGAAGTCCCATACCAGTGGTTACCAGAATGGGACGGATAGTTAAGATCTGCAAAAGACTGAATTTGTGACTTTAATACTGGTATCCATTTTTGTGTATTTTGTAAATATTTGTTTAAATTATTGTACCTATGTAAAGTGTATGGTTCAAATTCTTTGTAAATATTAACATTTTTAAAGTCATTATGTAAGTTAATCATTTGAGGTCAATTGTTAACTTAGATGGGAGGATACTCAGAAAACTTAACTTTGAGTAAAAAAAAAACTTGGAGTGAGAGTATTCGAACTCCATAGTTCAATGAAGAGTTCTGAGAGATCATTTTGGCATCCTTTTGCTGGGTGCTTTTCTTTTATAAGTTAAAAACAAATTATGTACTGGAGATAATAAGCACTTGCAGAATAAGCCAATATAAACTCTTTATGTTGTAGATTTTATTATTATTATTATTATTTTTGATTAGAGCTTTGTTATTTCAAGAAAATTATTTCTTCCATTGCAGTTAATATCTGTAACAGTTGATATCATAGCAGGATCAACGAAATTTGTCTGATTTCCAATCAGAGGGATGCATTTCATATTCATAATCACCACTAAAGGCAAATATAGGGTAGGATATCTGCTGTTACAGATAGAGCTCAGTAGGTCACCTGCTATGAGAATATCATTTTCATTTTGTATGAAGGAAGTCTTGAGTGTTTGGTAAGAAAAAGGGAATTAATACATTTAAAAGCAAAGCTCAGAATTTGACATTAGCTACCATTATTATATAAACTGCATGAAATGTAAAGAGGTATTATTCTTAATATTATATATTTATTTTTGTAGGAAAATTATATTGAGCTTGCTTACCTGTTGCAATGCGGACATCATGCAGCATAGCTGACCTACGTAGTGCAAAATTTCTTCATGGTCTTACAGTTGCAGAAAAGAATAAAAAAGGCTTGACATTTTATAACAGTAACAAATATCGTGTTGGTGGAAGGTAAGCCTGCCAGTTTTCTTGTGTGAGCATTTTAAAATCAATTTTGAGGTATTGAATTCGAATTTTGTTTTTACATATGATTTAGTATTTCATATTAAGAGTATTTTTAGTAGTCTATTGTGCCTGTCGTAAATATTTAAAAATTCATGATTTTCAACAATGAGAAATTATGAATAAAATAGTAAGTGTAGTTTCCAAATTGCACTTGGACACCTGTTACTTGCATTATTGATATTTCCATTTGTCTTATGCACATGGGATATACACATACCACTGTATATATATATATATATATACAGTGGTGGCCAAAATTGTGGAAACTTTTGGAAATTTTTATGTTTTTGAATTGTGTATGCTTATAGAAAATGTTACATTTCGCAAAATGCTTACTTGTATATATCATTTTAAAGAGAATTTATTACTGAATTCAATACAAAACACATAATTCAATTATTTGCAATACAAAAAATTTATATCTACTTTAATATAAATAAAAAACACAGTTATGAAGTGGTTTGTAATGTCTAGCTTTCCTGGCCAATCACTGTTCTTGTTCTGAGAACCAATAAAATGTTAGTAACTGCCAGTAGAAGCTGACATCATGTTTACACTTGAAACAATTCATTATTTTGCTTTGTTTTGTAGAAAGAGGACCTGTTTCTTATACACTGCAATTACAAGTAGGAATTTTTGTAAACTTTTTTAATATTTAGTCAAGAAGCAATAATATCAAATAAAAGAGTACATTGGACACCTAGAAAGAGAAGTAATATTGTGTTACGAGAAAGTGGTCTTTCCTATGCTGAAATTGCAAGACAGGTAGGTGGCTCAGTGACTACATCTAGAATCCGAAAGTTTTGTTTACGATATCAGGAGACAAATTCAATAAAAAACAAAGAAGGAAAAGGCCGAAAAAGGTGCACCACATCTATTGATGACAGAAGAATAAAATGACTATGTCTCCAAGATAGAAAAATGTCATCAGCGACCATCAGAAGAGATCTGAATGATGCTGGTGTTTCTGTCAATTCAAGAACAATCAGGAGAAGATTAACAGATGTTGGACTGAGAGGTAGAATTCCACGAAAAAAGCCTTATCTTAATTTTCAGCAATGAAAAGAAAAAAAAAAAAAAAAAAGACTACAGTGGGCAAAGGAACACATTAATTGGACAGATGATCAGTGGTCACAAGTTATATGGAGTGATGAAACTAAGATATCGTTATTCGGTAGTGATGGGTGAAAATATGTAAGACATAGAATAGGAGAAGAGCTACATCCTGACTGCATTCAAGCAACTGTAAAGAACCCAGTTAGTGTTATGATTTGGTCATGCATGTCAGCAGATGGTATTGGTCACCTTCATGTCATCGATGGGACACTGAATGCCAGAAAATACATTGACACTATTCTAGAACTAAAACTTCAACCTTCCATCAGAGATCTCTTTCCCAACAGTGCTTCGTTTTTTTTTCAGCAGGATTCTGCTCCTTGCCACACGGCCAAAATATCGAAAGGATGGTTTCGTACAAAGAGCATTAAATTGTTGTCATGGCCAGGAAACAGTCCTGACCTCAATCCTATCGAAAATTTGTGGCACCGTTTGAAATCTCTTGTCCGAATGAGGCGCCCATCAAATGAAAGGGAACTAATTGCGGCTATAATTGTTTCCTGGCATCCAGCTCAATGAAACGTTGTCAGCTCAATGAAACGTTGATGTGAAGCTGTAATCAAAAATAAAGGATAACCTACTAAGTACTGATAACTCACTGCAATCATCTCTATCTAATGTATATCGATAACTATTATCGTTTAAATTTTTTTGTATTGCAAATAATTGAATTTTGTGTTTTGTATTGAATTCAGTAATAAATTCTCTTTAAAATGTTATATACAAGTTTGCATTTTGTGAAATGTAACGTTTTCTATAAGCATACAAAGTTCAAAAACATAAAAATTTGCAAAAGTGTCCACAATTTTGGCCACCACTGTATATATATATATATATATAATTTATTTACTAAAGAAATATTGATTATATTATCTCCTAAGATTAATTTTAGTAGAATTATCTAAAAAGAGTGAATCCATAGTTAGTAAGTTTAATTCCTAAAATTGTTTTAAAGTAACTTGAATGTAAATTGTTAAAAATGTTTAACAGGGACTTGAATTAAATCATGAATAGCAAAATTTCAATTGTAAAAAGAAATTAAATTAGAAGCAAGTAATCATTGCCATTGATCGGAAATTAGTTGACTTTTCAAGTAGAATAACTCGATTTCTCACTAAATTATTATTAACTTACTTTGCAGCAATTGCGCAAGTAGTAGTAACTTGTTTTCACACTAAATGAATTTAAGATCATACAACATTATATATACAGTCAAAAGTCGTTAATTCGGACACCCATAATCCAGAATGATCTATAATCCGGACCTCAAAGCTACAAACTTTCTGCGCATGCCATGCGCATAGGCATTTACGCGTGTGCGTAAGACCTTTATGGCTGCAAATATGCGCATGCGCATGATACGTTTACGCATGCGCGTTTAATGTATAACGGACGGTATAAGCTAAGCTAAAATTATCTAATTCAGTTAATGTTGCAGATTGCGTTGTTCCTTAATCTTCGAATTGGATCTGGCTTATTATTTTTTGCAGACTGTTAGAGCAGTTTTATAAAAGTAAGCTTGAACTTTCAATTATGTCAAATAGAATTTCTGATATATTGTTACTAATATGTAAAGGATCTACAAAGCGAAAGTATGTTTCGAAATCCGAAATCTCTATATCAATTTCACGCTGCTCTGCGGCCGTGGGAGGGGGGGTGTTGGCTTTAGTTTTCCACATGCAAATTTTGATCGGAGGTAAGCTAACGTGGTTCCCGATGATGTGAAGATCAGCGGGTTGGCCGAGTATTATATATATGTACGCCGGTATCAGCGAATGTCTTGTTCTGTTGTGTGATTATCAGTTAGCATTATGCTAGTTTTTCTTTCACTTAATGATTTTAAATGTAAAGGCTATAGTGTGAGCTCTTTTATTTTAATTTACGGAATAAAGCATGAATTTTATTTAGATTAGTCTTGGCTTTATTTAAGGGAAGCAAAATATGCTTTGCCCTTATCCCCACTGCCAACAGGGTTATGGGCCCAGCACCAACAGCTAATCAGTCATCCAGTTCAACTCAGCATTGAAGGAATGTAGATGAAGAGGTCTGTTATCCACAAAAAGAAGCTGACCTGTCTTAGAAGTTTGTTCAAGTCGTTGTGCTCACACTTAATTGAAGATGTCATTACTACCTGAAGGTTTGGAGCTGTTAAACCACGATAACTGGGATCGATGGAAAGTCGACATGAAAATGCTGTTACTGGATAGAAATTGTTGGAGCTTCATAGAGGACAAAGAAGAAGAATTAGATAAAAGTCCAACAAGGCGTGAAAAGCAGTTCACACTGAGAGAGAACAGAGCCTTCACTACATTATATTATGGAATTAAAGCTGAGTTCAGGCCGCTGATACAAGAATGTTCAAGTGGTAAAGAAGCATGGGAAGTTCTACAGAAGCAATTCGAACCGAAAACAAGAGCAAGGATAATTCAGTTACTGGATGAATTTTTTAGTATTAGATATACACCAAATGAAGAAATGGATTATTCATCGCGAGGATAAGAATGACTGCAAAGAAGTTGGCTGAAGCTGGTCACAACTTTTCAGATCTTTTTAAAGGATTCCAGGCAATAAGGAGATTACCCCAAGAATACTCCGGCATTGTACAGTTGATCTATAGGTGGAAGGACGAAGATTTTATGTTGGAAAGAATTGCTGAAGAACTGGTAAGGGAAGAAAGCCGACTTCGCCAGGTAAATGCCGATTTAGAAGACAGTAAGGTAAGCGTGTTTAATACTATTAGTTTAAATGCGGGGAAAGATAGAGTAGAAAATAAAACTAAATCTAAGAAAAAGATGGGGAATATGAGAATAGGACTTTGTTTCAGATGTCATAAATTTGGGCACTTAATCACTCAATGTAAAGAAAATGTAAGTAAAAATCAGAAGTTTAAAATAGACGATAAAAATGGACAGTTTAAAGATAAAGAATTAATGTTAGTAGAAAATTATGTAACAACTACAGATAAAGGAGGTAATGCAAATAAATTTAATTGGGTCGTAGATACTGCAGCTACAACTCATTTCTGTAATAACAGAAATTTAACGACAAATTTTGAAGAAATATACGATATACGTATGTCTTTAGCTGTAGGAAACTGTGAAAGTAAAGTACTAGGAAAGGGTACCGTCAAATTTGCAGTAAAAGTAGACAATCGAATAAATTGGATTGAGTTAGATAATGTGTTATATAATCCAAATCTAAGAAGAAATTTATTATCGGGAGCAAGGTTAGAAAAGGCAGGTGCTCATTTTGTGATTTCAAAAGGGAAGATGTGGATATACTTTAATAATTGGGATAGATTATGCTATGCTAAACGATATGACGGACTTTATCACGTAAAACCATTTAGATATGCAACAGATATAAAGGAAGCGGGTTACGTTACTGTACAGAAATTGGAAAGTTAAATAAAGTAGACGATGTGCAATGCTATGGCATCGGAGAATTTAGCCACGTAAATTTTGATTATATTAAGAAAACTAGTAAGAATCAAAGCGGGAAAAGGGTTACCAGAAATTTTAAAACCAATGGAGAGGTGTGAATCCGTGTATTATTGCTAAATCTAGTAGAATAACTTTTAAAACTGTTCCGAAAGAGATCGGATAAACCATTGCAGTTGGTTTATTTAGACGTTTGTGGCCCACTACCACTTCCATCTAAGGGTGGGAGTAATATTTTCTTGCTATTGTTGATGACTATAGTAGATTAGTAACAGTGTATTGTATGAAAAAAAAATGAATCGTTCTACAACTTTAAGAATTATCATAGGCAAATGGAAAGACTGACGAATAGAAAATTAATAAGTATATGCACCGATAACGGTGGGGAAT